CACCACCTGCACATTGAGCTTCTCCGCCTCCTCCCACCGGCCCTGATCCCTGTATATCAATGCAAGGTTGGCCATAGTAATCAGTGTGTGAGGATGATTCTCGCCGAGCTTTGTCTTGTCAGTCTCCACCACCTGCACATTGAGCTTCTCCGCCTCCTCCCACCGGCCCTGATTCCAGTATGTCATTGCAAGGTTGGCCATACTCGTCAATGTGGCAAGATGATCCTCGCCGAGCTTTGTCTTGTGAGCGTCCACCACCTGCACCTGGAGCTTCTCCGCCTCTTCCCACTGGCCTTCATAATAATGAACATATGCCAATGTATTCCAGAGGAATATTTCACCCATTTCTATATTGTTTATCCGGACCAGGTCAATATCCCTGAAAGACGGGAGATGCACCACCAGGTGCCGACGAAACTCTGGTTTATCTTTCGTAATTTTAGAGCATGCGGCAAGCACAAAATTAGTGCACCACCACTCCCATGGTTGATTTTGGTTGCTATGCTTTGCTCTCCACTGAACTAAGCTGTGCATCGTGACGCCTGGCCAATCACCTTCCACTCGTTGTATGAGGCTGTAGCGAACTAGAATCTTTAAGCTTTCTCGATGGAAAAAATTGTCCCATATCCCTCCCTCAGTCAGCATAAACTTTCGGAGATCAGTCCCAAGTGCATTTCCGAGCTTGTTATCCACGGCACCAATACCAAGACTTGCCAGACGGAACATCTCGTCCTGCATGATGGTACCTTTGAAGTGGGCCAGGATTAAAACTCTCACGGGCCTTCTGGTTAAGGAATCAATTAAAAGGATATTTAATGACAGAAAAAGCGCCCTTGATGATGATTCAGTTGGGTTTGACCGTTTGAGGCGGAGGATAACGGCGCAAATAAAAACATTAGTCCAGGACTCCAGGTTGCCAGCTTCTATGAATAGAACAGACTATGGCTCGGTGACAGCGACAGATCTTTAATTAATCATTACCTATTGAAACCGGCATGGTATCGCTTGTATACTTTTGATTCTTTTGTTCTGTCCAGGCATGCGTGACTAATGTAAGCGCATCAAGCAGTGTAGGGACTAGGGAGGCAGAAAATTCCATAGTTACGGCGCTGTTAGAGAAGTTTTGGAACTTGCGAGTTCCTGACTCTTGACCGCCCTCGCATAGGCCCAATTAGGTCGCCCGACGGGCCACCCATCCAACCAAGCATCGCCAACCTCAAACTGACGCGGTCCCACCGGGTAGCGCCCGATGGCTCATCCGTTAAGAGAGCTTCCATGGCTATCAAGACGACGCTATACACGGTCGCAGACGCCAACCATACAAAGTTACTATAGACGAAGTCTCTACACCGATGCTATTATGTCACGTAGCCATATAAGGTAAGCAGTATACCTTGTTTAAACGGCTAAGACTTACTGTAGTTCGATCATATACTACGATTACTTTCGTATTCGATTCCATGGAGCCTTATGCAGGATGATGTGGCAGAGTGGCGGGCGGCTGTGATAAGGTGCCCAACACCACACCAAATTCAACTCATGCAACTGAATTCAGTCGCGATTTTTTGATTTACTCCATCCTCGCGTTACTTTCTTATAGTCGATTCTCAAAGCTATTGAGTGAAAGCGAATTTTCTTGCTCTGTGAAAGATACCGAGCACTTGATCTCGTTCTGGGCAATCAGAGGCTATGGAACTTTACGGAAAGTAAATGTGACCAGCCTCATTGAAAACCTGCGCTCGAATCCGTCCTCTGGAGTATCTTACATCTTGTTCTTTCTTCATAATACTTTGCCGGCAAGTTATGTCTGACCCTAAGGACTACACCGTTGGCTGGATCTGCGCCATAAGTACGGAGCACGTTGCCGCGCAGGCTTTTCTTGATGAAAAGCATGAAGGACCAGAATATGTGTCACCTAATGACAATAATGATTACACCTTAGGCAAGATTGGAAAACATAATGTCGTCATTGCTGTCTTGCCTGATGGGGAGTATGGTGTATCTTCTGCAGCAGGCGTTGCAAAAGATATGCTGCACAGCTTTCCTAACGTCAGAATCGGTCTGATGGTCGGCATTGGCGGTGGTGCACCAAGTTCAAAGCATGACATTCATCTGGGAGATATTGTGGTCAGCGCTCCTCGTGATGGGGAGGTTGGTGTGTTCGAATATAACTTTGGCAAAACCATACAAAATCAGAAATTCCGACCAACAAGAGTCCTGAACCAGCCACCAACCGCCTTGCGCACGGCAGTGAGTGGACTCAGAAGCCACTATGAGATTGAAGGGCATCAGCTTGAAGAAGCTATCAATGGTATTCTAGAGAAGAAACCAAGACTGCGGAAGAAGTACAGGCGGCCAGACCCAGGTAGCGACAGGCTATACCAAAGCCGATCCATCCACACTCTGGGAAATGAAGCAAGTTGTGCCGTAGTCTGCGGAGATGATCCATCACACTTGATATTGCGGCACGAACGGACAGAGGATGAGGATAATCCAGTAATTCACTATGGCCTGATTGCGTCGGCAAGCCACTTAATGAAGGACGCTTTGATTCGGGATAGACTTGCTGCAGAAAAGGATATTCTGTGCTTTGAGATGGAAGCAGCAGGGCTGATGAACCACTTTCCCTGTCTGGTTATTCGCGGTATATGTGACTACGCGGACTCCCATAAGAATAAGGACTGGCAAGGATATGCAGCCATGACGGCGGCCGCATATGCGAAAGATCTTCTTTGTCGAATTGCCCCGAACAGGGTTGAAGCTGAGAAGAGGATCAGTGACCTTTCAGATGGTTAGTTGCTCTCAAATTCTGTCCGGTTATTTAGTGTGTTTCTAATGATCAATCGGAAATGGAATGGATATTTCAACAGTGAAATCAAAATTAGAGAAGCAGGAAGAAATTGCAATTCTCAATTGGCTCACTGTTATCGATCATGGCCCTCAACACAATGACTATATCAGTCACCGGAAAGTAGGAACGGGCGAATGGCTTCTGGAATCAGATGAATTCCAGACTTGGTTAAATGGGACCAAGCGGACATTATTCTGTCCTGGTCTTCCAGGAGCGGGCAAGACTATTATCGTGTCGATTGTGATTGATTACCTTCATCACAGATTTTGGAAAAATGACAATGTTGGCATCGCATTTGCGTTCTTCAACTTCAATCAGCCCCAAATCTCCTACACAGACCTGTTGTTGAGTCTACTTAAGCAGTTAATCCGCCATTCAGTCCCCGAGACGGTGACAAACCTATACAGAGATCATAGTTTCCGAGGAACACGTCCTTCATATGATGAGATTTTTAATACGTTGTGCAATATTGCTGAGCGCTTCTCAAGTACCTTCATAATCATTGACGCACTTGACGAATGCGAAGATTCTAACGGCACACTCTCAAGAATCGTTACAGAATTGTTCAAGATTCAGGACAAAACAGATGCAAATATATTTGTAACATCACGATGCATCTCTGGGATAACGCAAACATTTGAGGAAAGAGACAGCACTATTTTAGAGATACGTGCTAGAGATGAAGATGTGCAGATGTATATCGAGGGTCAACTCTCAACTTTGCCGGAGTGGGTTAGAGAAACTCCCGGACTGGAAAGGGAGATAACAACGGCAATTATTAGAGCAACTGATGGCATGTAAGTAAACAGAATATCTAATTTAATGTACTATATCACTTATTGCTGCTTTAGGTTTCTACTTACGAGATATCATCTGGACACATTGCGCGAACAAACTGACGCAGCGGAAATTGATGAGGTTCTAGAAGGTCTTCCAAGAGGGCTGCATGCGTATCCAAAAATATATCAACAAGCCATGGGGAGAATTCAAAGCCAGCCAAAAAAATTTAGCCACCTTGCTCTCCAAGTCCTTTCTCGGATTGCCAAATGCCGGAGGTCAATGGGAATATTGGAGCTACAACATGCACTAGCCGTTGAAGAAGATTCATCAGCACTCAATCCACGGAAAATGAAAGATATGCGGCAAATAGTTCGTGTTTGTGCTGGATTGGTTACAATTGACAAAGAAAGTGACATAATCCGCTTGGCTCATTACACAACTCAGGAGTACTTCGAGCAATATTGGACACTATGGTTCCCTAACGCAAATCGATCTATAGCCACCATCTCGCTTACATACTTAAGCTATGAAAAATTCTCCGCCAAACTAGCTCAGAGCTGGGAAGAATATAGGCAACGACAGCGGGATAACTGTTTCTATGAATACGCTGCCCAGTACTGGGGCCACCATGCAAGAGAGGCATATCCCGAGGTGAAAGATTTAACTGCTAAATTCCTCCGAGGCCCCGCGCTTGTCAGCGCCGTACAGGTTTTAGTTGCGCCACAATTTCCCTTTGGGATTTTCAACATACCAAAAGGGATAATGGGACTACATATTGCTGCATATTTTGGAATGAATGAAGAAGTCATGGAATTTCTTCAAGAAACCTTATGTCCCGATGTGGCAGATAGCTATGGGCAAACTGCGATGCACTGGGCTGTGAGGAATGGACAGCGACAGACAGTCGAGCTCCTGCTGAATGAAGGACTTGATGTGAATGCAAATGATACTGAGATGAAGTCTGCCCTGCATTACGCTGCGAGCCAAAACAACAAAATGTTGATACAGCTCCTTCTCAAATATGGTGCAAAGATTGAAGCTCAGGACATATGTGGGCAGACTCCCCTGCTAGTCGCTGCAGGCGATATCAAAGTGGAGGCTGTAATAGAGTTTCTCTTCCGGGGAGCCACGGTTAATGCGCTGGATGCAAAGCATCGAAATGCATTGCATTTAGCGATAATTGCCTCCAGAGCAGAGAGTGCTTTGATAGCAGACATGCTTTTGTCGCATAGCATTGATTTCAGCGCGTGTGATGTTGGAAACATGACTCCACTGCACTATGCAGTTGGAACTGGAAGCCGCAAAATTATTGATTCGCTTCTTAAGGCAGGTGCTGACGTCAACCTGGGTATTGAAAGGAAGCATTGGACCGTAACCACTGAATCTGGGCGGCCAGTCTACAAGGAATTTCAGGTGCTTGGGGCGGCAAAAAAGAAAATCAATGACGCTGTTGGCCTTACACCACTGCATTTTGCGGCTTGCATTGGCCATAATGCAATGACAGAGTATCTTCTCAGCAAAGGCGCCGACCCGAATGCACGCTGCCACAATGGGGATACACCGTTGCATATCGCTCTCCGACGAAGCCTTCTTGAAACACAGGAAGACGGCCAAGAACCAATATTTGGCTATGTATTGCCTGATAACGATGAATGGACAGATAATAGATGGCACATTGAACTCGATGCTGACTATATCACTGATTATGAGGAAGAGGCGCGGGATATCTACCAGTACATTGAGGAAGAACGGTTGGCAGTAGTCAGTACCCTTCTCGCCAGTGCCAGCATCAACGTTAACATCGAAAATATTGAGCGTGGCTTACCCCTTCATGTGCTTAAATATGACAATTTGAACGCACATGTTATCATTTGCAAGCTGCTTGAGCGGGGGGCCGATATTTTTGCACGTTATAAAGGAAACCAGACAGCTCTGCACCTCGCATGCAAATCAGGCGCTTCAACCATTGCGTGCGACTTTCTTGACAGAGGTTGCTCTATTAAGACCACTGATTTACAGGGTCTAAATGCTTTGCATTATGCTGTTCGCGCCAATAAATATGACACTGTTAGGGTGATCTTGGATCGGGATGAACAACTGGCCCGATATCTTTGCCGTGATGTGGATGCACGAGGTAGAACTTTAATGCACCACCATTTAGAAGGCATGGGATGCTCTATTGGAATGCTTACTGTCCTGTTGTGTCACGGCTCGAGGTTGAATGATGTTGATCAAGATGGGAACACGCCACTCAGCCTACATCTTCAGGGATTCAAATGGGCAGGCCAAGCGGAAATCTGTCGCTTTCTTTTGAAGCACGGTGCTGACGCTCTCTGGAGAAGTCCAAAAGGCCAAACTTTGGCCCATCTGGCAATGTGCAATCCTATGGCAGAGCTCGGGGTTTTAGAGGCCATCTCAAATCATGGTGTTGATGTGGCTGCAAATAGAGTGGCACAGCGAAGCCGCAAAATCCGCGTCAATCCGCGCCGAATCCGCAATGGCGCGGATTCGGATCCAGTGGGCCAGAATCCGAAGCGGCTGCGGATTATACATGCAGGATCCGCAGCGGCGCGGATAATCCGAATGGAGTGGCTTGGAGTGGATTTTGCAGATTGGATTATCCACAAGATCCATTTACAATATGTTACCATAATTGACATCAAGCCCGATCTCTATGTAATAATGTAATATGAACTCATGAATGCAATGACTAAATCCAACTGTAGTTGGAATATTGTATTTATACACACTGGGGAAACCAACTGCAGTTTAAATATATTTCTAACCTAATACATAAATAAAAATATCTAATGTACAATGCCATCCTCCAAATCACGAAAGTATCCAGGCCGTGTAACTGTGTGACGAGGTCGTTGCGCAGGAGAGGCTGCTGGAGGTTGTTTCTCAGTAAAGGCTGCTGGAGAGGGAACTGATATTGCATGTGGTGGTGCAGACAAGGATGGAAGATCATCATCAGATCAAGCATCATCATCATCTGAAAAGCCACCAAGATCTTCGGTTTCACTGATAAGACATTCAGGTTCCAACTCAAGGGGCTCACCAGCGTCTGGACTGCCTGGCCCTTTGGTTTGGGATGTTGAATTATCTTCATCCTCAAGAAATTCAAACTCACAACTCAGTGCAAAGTGATCACTACACATCTGAGTTATAAGTGCTTCAATTGTCTCTGGGGCAAGATGGTTCCAGTGATAATGACAAATATCACGGGCAGTGCTGAAGAGATTCTCAGGTCCTACACTACTGGCAGGGACTGCAAGGAAGTCACGGGCCATTTGGGCCAGGATAGGGAATCGATTGGCATTATTATGCCACCATTGAAGGGCATCTGTGGTGCCAAGTGAGTTCACAATAGCTAAAGTAAAACAAACCACAGTTAGATTGCATTGAGAGGGAGAACCAGAGAATAAGAGCGCAATAGAATGGACATATGTTCATCAAGATAAGCTTCCAATTCAGCATATCACTTAGCTGGTCCAGTATTCTCAGAGTCATGGGAGTGCGACTGAGCAGCCTGCCGGTGGCGTTTGGATTGATGAAGGGCAATGTCAATGTGACTCATAGCTGATGGATGAGTGATCTCAACATCAGATTGAGGGAAGCGCTCACAATAGTGATGAAAGACTTTATGCATTATTTTGTTGTATGCCACATCCCAATGCTCAGATTTCGGTTCCATCCAGTTGTCTGATTGAAACAGAGACAGCTTTTGATATGGATCTAATACAGTTGCAACTGCATAGATAATGCCATGAAAGCCATAAGTCTTCTGATAGTACTGCTGAAGTTTTTGCTTTGCAGCTACCAGACCTTGGTAGATTGCCTTTTTCCATGCTGCTCTTTTTGATCCCAGGTGCTGCATGGAATCCTCAAGGTGATTGAACAGAGCATCATAGATTTGATACACCTAGAACTATATAAGCAAGCAAGAATCAAACTGCAGTTGGACTGGCATACCTTATGGATTGTGGCACCGGTGTGTTTTGAGAGACCCTTGGTGTATAAGAAGAAGTCAGAAAGCAATTGCAACAAATACTCAACATGTTGCCATTCATGATTATCAAGGCCAAGGATTGAGATGTCTTCAGCAGAGTGAATAATGAATTGGCAGATGTAGTGGCAGAGTGCATAAGCTCATTCCAACATCAGGTATGTTGAGTTCCATTGAGTTCAACAATCAAGGATAAGAGTGAGAGGGTGAGCCCTTCCATTGTTCTGATCCATTTCCTGAAATCGGCGGAATTGCTGACGTCGTTGTGGACTGGCATTGATGAATTGTACAATTTTCTGTATCTCAGAGGAAGGTTAGTAGGAGTGCAGAAATAGAATACATATTAGGTCCCTTAACACACCTTTTCTAATGTTCACAATAGCCCAGTTTCTTGAATAGTCTTATCCTTATCATCCCATTGTGCAGTTGGATCATCACTGTTACTCTGAATTCAGAGTTCTTGTAGAAAGGCATGAACAGCAAGCTGAATAACATGAGTGAGACAAGGCAGGTGATGCGGTGCATGAAGCAGTTGATAGAACTCAGAATCATAAGCCTCAGAAAATAAGTCAGGTGTATTTGACAGAACATCTTGTAGCTTTTTTCTTTCCTCTGGATCATCAACATTGATCAAGTGGCCAGCAATGTCAATGTACATTGTTTGGTTATTCCCTGCCTGAATAGTCAAGTGTTAGCACAGGAAATCAAACTGCAGTTGAAGTATGTGTACTCACATTATCTGTGGTCATCCCTAGAATGCAATGGCATAGATCATGGCGCTTGATTGTCTGAATGACTATCTCT